TCGTGACCCCCTCCCCCCTGCAGCACAACGACAAGGCTCTCAAGGGGGGTGCGCCACCGAACACGCGGTGGTGGTACTGTACGTGGTGGCTGGTGTAGGAATTCATTTCTGGCGGGAGCAGAAGCAGCACCTTTGGCACAGCCAGCACCCAGAAAGTCGGAGTGAAGACACCGAATGGAACGACGCACACCCCCTAGGCACGGCGCCTGGCTTGAAAGTGATGGCTTCGATAGTGGCGGTCAGGAGTCTCCATAGTGTGGGCGAAGCATGTTCTTGTAGTCTTGTTACTGCTTACGCGACAGTTAGGTTCGAGAGCTCGCAGTTGATTGATGGCATTTTATGTAGAAACAACATTTAACACAGCTGCCTGTCTTGTACACAACACCCCCTTCGTTTGGGGTCTTGGATTGTCTCGAACGGGAAGTCTGTCTTTGAAGGCAAGGATATTTTCCACTCACATCACTAGCTGCCATGACGAATCGCACTTCAGGGGACAGGGTCTGCGACGCTTACAACGTGTGTGGATCGTGAATTGTATGCATGGATCCGGAATTGTTGACTTCCGGCCTGCAGCTATATATAGCCTTCGACAGTACGGCCCCAGCAACAGATACGCGCGTGTCAACACGCATGCGCCGCTCCTCCAACATGTCCTGCCGTGCTGTCAACAGATTTTCCAAGTCGGGACACAACGCGGCGCAATGCCCTTGTCGGAGCACCGGCCTGTGTCGCCTGTCTTGTCCTGATTTGAGAATGGCGGTAGGATATCTCTTGGTTTGAGTGAAGGTGTGTGGAGGTAGACTACGTTACATACGCCGTTGGCAGACAACGAACCGCTGCTCTGTGTGACAAATTACCTGATACTCCTTGAATACATGTATGCATACTTATTCTCGGAGTACGAACATGTTGCGCAAAACAAAAAAAAACGACCATGTACAAACAGTCCGACGTGACTCGCGTGTGGTTGCTGGGCGCTCCCTCGAACATTCCCGCAATCAACCAAAAACAAACTGTTGATTGGCAATAACTTACACCGCTCCTGTAAAAACGCAAAGAACTCTCACCTGCCATATGCACAGGTCGCACAAGATACCACACCCTCCGGACCGATTTTCAATTTCAGAATTTCCATTGGGACGAAGAGCATGGCCAAAATCAGACGATAGGCTAGGGAAAGCTCTCGACGAAACTGTAAACTGCTGTTCCAACGCCGCCATTTTCGGCACCACCATTGCTTTGTGTTTGCTGCAGAGACACTGAGCTTTGTAAATCCGACCAGGGGGTGTGGTATCTTGCGATGCGACCAACGGTACGCTTACGCCTGGAATTCCGGCGGACTAGAAACGGTGTATGTGCCTATTGTTCTGCTATAGTAGGCATAACCAATGTTGTAGTAATGGCAAACGTTTCGCTGCCACTGCTATGGCCATCTCCGACGACGCGCTCGACGCTGAAAATAGAAGCGCGCGCGCCTCTGCGTACATCTCCGTTGCTTGTTCTTCGGTCAGTGCGATTGACTGACTCAACCGCGTAGTCATGTTGCGTTCTTTTTCTTACTAAATAGCGACGAGTGACACGGCAGCAGCCATTAGTAATATCTCATACGTAAATCAATGGTACTCGTATATAGGGCGTACAATTGTAGCCAACCAACCCTGTGCTCCGGACACGACACAGGAGGTTGTCTCCCCCTCCCCCCCCCCAAAAAAGGGGCGAACAAAAAGGAAAACGTCGGATCCAGATTTCTGTTGCACTGCTGTGATGAACAAGGAGCATGGACGGATACTAATGGTGACAAATTGGAGCTTGGTTCGTCGCCGTGCATATAAATAGTAGCTCGGAATAAAAAGGGGTGAAGCGGAGGGGCATCACAGCAGCACTCATGATGGAGTCAGTCCACACCGGAGTAGCAGCACGAGCAGCAGCAGCAGCAGCAGCAGCAGCAGCAGCAGCAGCAGCCGTCTTTGCAGTACGATTTTCTCCGCAGCAACAGCAGTTCTACTCAAGGCACACACACACATCATTGACTCTCCGTCCGCTGTGCGGCCTGTTTTCGTGTTCGTTCTCTCTGTCTTGTCTCTCTCAAGGGACACAAAATACGCTTTCCGTCACCCTTGTTGTTCATCAACGGCCGGCGCCTGCAACCACGCCGGTGTGTGTGCGCGCTTTCGCGTGCGCTCCCTCCGCTCAAGAGAGAAAGCAGCTGGCCATGCCTCATGTTGACCCCCCGCCCCCTCCCGCCCTTGCTTGGGGAAGGTGCGTGTGTTGCGTGCACAGCTTTATGTTGTTGCGCGCGAGGGATAAGTTGACGCAGCTTCTCGGCGGGACATCGGAGGGGGGGTATCTCCCGGCCCATCGCTGACAGACAAATCAACAACCACTGCATAAGAAATTTACATGCGTGGGTGCGTTGGATGGGAACCTGAGCAGGAAGGGATGCTATGTCTGTCTGTCTCCTGTGCGAACGCGCTAGTTCTCTTGCGCCTTCCGTTTTGTCATGTTGATGGTCGGCTCTGTTTTTTCGCAGCAGCACCACGCATCATCTCGTGTTCATCACCCTCCAAAACACACTCAATTATCGAAATGTATACCATATCACATGTCAACTAACTGACGTTGATGCTAGCGCGTCCAAGGTTTTTTTTGTGTATCCCGCTTGGCAAATCTTCTCTCGCCATCATCAGACACTGGCACCCCCTGCTTTCTCTCTGAGCATGGTGTGTTTGTGAAAGGCGAAAAAAAAGGCACATGCCTTCACAACAAGCCACAGAATAAAGGAGCTGCTCCTTCCTATATCCATATTCCAAGTCGTTTGCAAAGGCGGCAAAGAGCGAAAGAGAGAGAGAAGAGAGGACACGCGGCGTGCACGTTGTTTCTCGCTTGTGTGCACCCCGAACACACAGCTGAAAGTGGGACCAAAAGAACACCATGCAAAAGCAAGCACGCATGCCCGAATGACACGCTCGCAAAACGTGCACAGCTCCATGGAAGTTAGCTCGTCCAACATGTGTTTGGTGTGTTTGTTCATAGTACCATACCAGCAGCAGCAGTGTTTGGGTGTCGGTGTTGAACGTGGGTGCAGGTTGCAGGAGGTAAGCACAGAATGCCGACGACTCGAAACGTTCGACCAACCGAGAGCACGTAGACCAACACACCACAGGCGCCCGCTGCACGCGACCACAGCTCACACCAAAGGCACAGTAGTAGGCAACCTCTCACCTTCCTCTAGATGGCCGGCCCTCTCTCCCTCTTGCGTGGGCCAAGCAATCGCCTACACAGCCCGAGTGAAGGTCTCTATCCCTCTCCCCCCCCCTTTCTCTCGCTTGTCCCTAAAAAATCTGAAGTCGGCTCGCTCTCTATCCGTTCGGTCTCGGTAGGGCTGCTGGTCGGCGAGCTTTGTATCTCTCCGGCTGCCGCAACCCACGCCTCACGTGCCCCCCGGTACGACGCGAGCCGTTTTCTTGCGTGTTGCGCAGCTGATGGCCCCCAACAGCAGCAGCTAGTCCCTTCCAAATCGACCCTTTAGTACAGCGCTGGCGCAAAAAGCAGCCAACGACAGGTAGCTCCGCTGCTGTACTGCAGCAGCAACAGAAGGCTGTTCCTGCACTTGATGATGATTCGCAGAATAGCAAAAGCGTGCACACACACACCCAACGCAACGCCGCTGTGCGCACAGAGGGCGGACAGCAACTCGGCGGAGGCGGCGCCCTTCTCTATCTATGTCTCTGCACTGATCTCGCCTTTCCCACAGAGCCCGTGTGTGCGTCTGCGACTCACACACTCCTTTTTCTTTCGCCTCTTCGGCCTCTGAAATCAGAAATGGGACAACCTGGGTGGGATCGATAGGGGTGTATTTTTTTTTCCTGAAAAAAAACAAAGAGTATTTAATACAATACTCTGTACATGCTTCGAAGTACTAGTATTTATCTTGAGTGCGCTCTTCGACGGTGAAGACTGGGGAGACGGACGGTGTTCGACATGCCGCCGCCACCTGTGATGTGGAAACTACGTTTGTCCTTGCGTCATGTGCGCACTTTGGAGTGCTGGCGATGAGTAAAGCCAGTGCGTAGACCAAAATTAAAATGTGCAAAACGTGTGTGTAGTTGTACGCATGTTGTAGTATCCTCGGTCAGAGAAAAAACAGGCAATTTTGTCTCACGTGACTGTAGTAACTGCCGTCTCAGCAGGGGTTTACTTTTGTAATGCTTCCCGGCGTGGCTTCAAGCAGCGAGCATCAGCGATGGAGGGTGGGAGGGGACGGGGGTACTCCACCGTTGCCTCTTCTCTCTCCTGCGTGCAGTAACACGGGCAAGAATACGCGTACGGCGTGTATCGAGTGCGCAGAAAAGAAGACAGAGGGCAGAAGAACTCATCATCCGTGTGGTGGCGGACAACGACACCAGTACCCTCGCCCTCTCGGCTGCGGATGGATCCCTACACGTAGGGGAGGCATCCTGCTGGACCTCGGCCATCAGCTTTGCCGGGAAAAAAAGCTGGTCAACGCCAATTTTTCCGATACTCTGGACCAAATCCTCAATTGACTCGCATGCCCCCCCACCTGCCATCACGCAGCAGATACACTATGATAGGCCGACAAACAACTAAAACACTAAAAAATCGCCAACAAAGATAAATACAGGCGACGGTGGGGAGGGGGGGGGGGGGGGGGGGGGCGTTTTTCCCCTGGAGATGAACGCCTCCGATCGTGAAGGCGTCACTTTGAGTTTGTGCCTCGTGCAATAACGATGTCCAGCGCGACGCATCCTTACGGTAGTCACATACACACACGCGCACGCCACCAATAACGCCCCCTCACGGCGCCCAGATCAACCGCACTGAGGTAGACGTCTTTTCATTGGCCAGCGGGTTTGCGCGGTCGATGCTGCTAATAAGAACACGCCACGACTTCACACGAGACCAAGTAATTTACTGGTGTGACCGTCACAAACCGCACCTTTGCGTCGGACCGACGTGTACGCTCACCAAGAAGTAACCGTATGGCGGAAGTGGTCTCAAGTGCCCTTGTAGCTAGCGGCGAGTTTATGGATGTGGAGGTTGCAAGGAGCGACAACAGCAGTGACAAAAGGCGGCGTAGGTGTGTACTTGTAGCAGCTGCAGGGAACGGGTAACGCCTGTGTTGCGCGGGCGGCGCCGTGTGTATAGTTTCCCCAACACTTGCGCTGAAAACTTTTGAAAAAATATTTGACGAACATGGTTACTATCGTACGCACACGTTTGAGAGAAGGCAAGGGCTTGCTGATGTTTGTTTGCTATCCTGTCCGCCCATGCTGATGGAACGAATACCTTTGTGTGTAGCTCTCTAAAATGTTTTGTTTGTTATTCTTTCCCCCCATGCCAATGGTGATGGTGGTCGAACAAACGATCGCCCCAGGTGTTCTTCGACATCGACGCGGGGGGCAAGGAGATGGGGCGGATCACTCTCGAGCTTCGAGCGGACGTCGTGCCCAAGACAGCAGGTGACAGGCTGATTTCTTGAGATGCCGTTCTTTTGTGGGGGGAAATTTCGACGGCGACGCAGACATCGACACGGTTGTTGGCGTGGAGGCAAACACAACACCCTTCGATCGATCGGTGTACCGGAAAATGTGTACTAGGGCGTGTGTGTGTGGCTTTTGCCAGCAGGGTGACCCACGCCCCTCCTGCTGCCTACCTGCTCCTGGTTGCTCTCCGAAAGTTCCGACGACTCTCGGCGGGCTTAACTGTCGCACTGCATGCCGTCTGGTCTACACAAAAGTGTGTGTGTGTTTTAATATTCACCCTGTTAGCCCGTGACCACCGTCGATGGACAGCAGCGTTTAGTCACATTTACATACCTTCTCCAACAAGGAAATTGCACCGTCGTCCGGTCTCTCTGTTTCTTTCTCTTTCTTCGGTTTTGTAGAGAACTTCCGGCAGCTGTGCACCGGGGAGGGCCCCGTGAAGGGGTTCAAGGGGTCGAAGTTCCACCGCATCATCCCGCAGGTGAGAAGGAGGAAGAAGAAGAAGAAACGTCAGGCGTATCGTACGCGAAAGCTTCTTGCCTTTGTTTTCGGCCTTCTTCTCTTGAAGAGGGCGGTGCTAGCGCAAGGAGAGGGGGAGAATATCCTTCCTGTGTGTCCGCGTGGATCCCACGCCCCAAATTTACCTTTAATTTACACATTTGTGTGTTCCGTAATTAAATATTCGTTCTGACACGCATCGCAAAATGCACCCGCTTCGTGATCCAACTCGCGCAGTTCATGTGCCAGGGCGGCGACTTCACGGCTGGAGACGGCACCGGTGAGATTTCCCACGCCGTCAGAAATTTCCTAGAAAACGAAAGGAGCGCGCGCATAGCGACAGTGTGCCAGGGGCGCTTCTATTGCCGCACCGAACCCGCCACCACTCTTGAACCTCTTGTAGTGCCCGAGGCTCGTTGCTTGTTTCCTCTGTGGGTCAAAAACCAAAATCATTATGAAGTAAGTTTTAGTGTAGATTTCTTAACTGTGCACCTTTTGTTATTGTGGAAGTTCGTATCATAAGGGTCTATTTTTCTCGGCCTGAAAGTTGTTCTCCCCAACTCCCAGGCTTCGGTAGTGGTCGGGCGGTCTGTACATTTTTGAGATTTTCAACGGCGTCTGCGTGCAGCTTCACCGAAAACCTTTTCATGGTGTTGCGGTTCATCGCAGGAGGCATCGGATTTCGTCGTTTTGCCGCCCTTGTTTTCTTTCCGACACCCGCGGCTGGATTGTCCGCATGACACACCCATATGCGGCGCGTATTTCCGTCTTTAGCCCGTGCGGTGGAAGCAAATAAACAGTCTTGGGTCTCTGCCGTCTTGACGTTGTCTAGTTTTTGTGTGGGTTGTTGTTTGTTGTTCGGTTTCGTTCTGCAGTCTTGGGTCTCTGCCGTCTTGACGCTGTCTGGTTTTTGTGTGGTTTGTTGTTTGTCGTTCGGTTTCGGTTTCGGTTTTGTTTTGCAGGCGGTGAGTCGATCTACGGCCGCACGTTCCCGGACGAGAACTTCGAGCTGTCGCACACCGGCCCGGGTATCCTCTCGATGGTGAGTGGTATAGCAGCAGTTGGTGTGTGCATAAAAATAATAATAGTGCCTGTTGAAACGATTTTCGAACAGGCACGCTGCAAAGTTTGTCCGTTTTTTTTTTTTTTTTTAACGTGTTCACGCGTTGAATGAGAAAAGACCTGGCGCCTGCCCCCCACGAGGATCACGGGCTTTTGTCTCATGCCCCGCCACACACACGAGTCCATTCTAGTCTTATCCATTTAACACCTCCACCTCCACGTTATTGTATTGTTTGCTTTGTTTGGTGTATTCACCGGGAAGTTTGCCTTGTGCTCTCTGAGTGTGTCATGAACGAAGTGTTCGAACCATTGGGGTGGCCTCCCCCCTCCCCAGTGTCGCGCTGGGTCATGTTCTTCCTGTACATGTCGCGCTGGAATATTTACGACCCCTTCGCGTCCTCCTCTCGATGACAATAAAAAAAGGCGAACGCGGGCCCGAACACGAACGGGAGCCAGTTCTTCTTGTGCACCGTGGACTGCCCCTGGCTGGACGGGAAGCACGTCGTGTTTGGCAGCGTCGTGGACGGCATGGACGTGGTGAAGAAGCTGGAGGCGCTCGGATCGCCCTCCGGCAAGACCAAGACGGTGAGCGTTGAGACAAGCGGACCGGCAGAACGTGTCCAGAGAGCGGGGAGTAGCCGCCTTTATTCGTGGTGTCGTTTGAAGCAGTGACGATCGATTGTACGCAATGCTTTGGTGCTGACTCCCAACCCGTACCTTTCCCGCAATTTGCGCTTCGATGCTGATCGTGACGCCTGACATACGCAGGCTGTAACGATCAAGGACTGCGGGGAGCTCTAATAGCCTGGGAATCACTTAGTTAGCGTTGCTTGACGGGGGGGGGGGGGGGGGGGGG